AATGCTTGCTATTTTTCTGTTCCTCTCCTGGCAGGAAAAGGAGCCGATGCTTTGTTAATTTTAAATACTTATGAACTTTAGGTGTGCAGACAGCCCTGAAAACACATCTTGAATGTGACTCTCCACTTTCAGAAAAGAGAGATCCTTTAGTTCTGCACAACTTAACAAGTATCTCTAACTCAATCTCTGTACATTTATGCTTTTCAAGCATCCTTTGTACAGCTGAGGAATTAAGAGTGTTAGTAGAAGCTTTTTGTGTAATATCAGTCCTTCTGTGACCGCATTACAGCCCTGATCTACAGAGAAAAGCCACTACAGGTAGAAGACAGCCATGCCAAAAAAATCCACCACACAGTGACTATACATGTAACTTCCAACCATTGTCCTGTAAGAACTGGAGTAAGCTGGAAGGAAACAGAGATTGCCAGTTCCCAAGAAATGCATGACCATTAAGCTCTGGCAGGTCAAACACAAATATTTTTTCCCAAAGCTACACACATATTTTGAATATCCAACCATAGGCATTCTGCTTTCCTTGGGGTTTTGCTTTCTCCTGCCTAAAACATTATGCTGACCAGAAATATCAACCAGAGCTCATGACTGCCCCATGATCTCTAGATAAAATGCAGTGATGCAATTTGCTTAGTCACAAAAGTGACTATGCAAAACCTAGGGGACAAAAGGAGAGGCAGACAAGACTGGAAAAGGTGATTCAATAACACTTTGTCCCCACTACCTGCTCAGGTTCTCAGAAATTGCTTCAGGATGAGGTTATGGGGAAGAATAGACATAGCGATTACGGTCAGATTAATCGTGCCATGGTGTGCACGTCACAAGCCCTTGGGAATAAAGCAAGCTTCTCTGCATACCGAGCTGATAACTGAGCTTACTGTAGGTACTAAGTTAATTAGTAGCAGTCAGGGCAGAAGGTTGAGTAGATAGTGAGATGAAACAGGGGAAAGGTGAAATGCTTCTTAGAGGCTAACAACAAGATACAGGAAAAAACAAAGAAAGAATTAAAAAAAAGGAAATTCGCAGTCCTAACTAAAGAAATATGCTGTTAAATGAAGGTTCCCACAGTATGACTGAACAACAGAGAACAGAAAGCTTTCTGTAGAAAAGAAAAAAATCTCTACTGCACATGAAAGGGAGACAGTTTTGCACGGCAGGATAAATATCCTTGCTTACTCTCCCAGGCTTCAACACCTTGTTTAAGAAACCTTGCAGAGAAATATCTCTCAGGCTATACCCAAGCCCCACTGCATTTTCTGTGTCTTTTAATCACCAAAATCTTCTTGATGCAGCTGTGTGATCAATTTTTCTTTGTTATGGAACCCAGTGACAGTCTTAACCAGACTGCGGAAAGAACCAAAACAACAAACAGATAAAAATTTCAGAAGTCCTTCAGAAATGCTGAAAGGCCTCATGTAGAAGCACTTTCCTGCTAGAAAACATACTGCAGAGGTTAGTTCATAGAAATTCATCCTGCTTCGTATCCTTAGACTCACAAAGCAGTATGTATCACATTCATAAACATGTTCAACTAATGCACTCACAGCTGCATCATAAAGTATTGTTGTTTTATGCGTGCTTGTAAATGAATAAAAATAATTCCTAAAGATTCAGCACTGGCATCCATGAATTGCATGGGTAAAATCCACAGGAGTTACTGAACTCTGAACTTTAACAGAAATAAACTGATACAATCAATGCAATCAACAACCAATTCAACACAGACCTACCATTTCTAGACTTTTTCATCCCAATATTTCGTAACTGTGTCCAAGACTATTTTTTAAAATGGTGCACCAGTCAAAACTACTATACAGATTTTCAGCAAAACCAACATCTTTCTATCTATCCACAAATCAAATACAGCATTTCCAATCACAAAAGTAGCTCTCCAAAAAAAAATAATGAAGGATTTTTTCACATTTCTGACTTTCTACTATCCACTAGGAGAGTGCCTGCTCCACACAGGAGAATGTGCAGATAAGCAAAATGCCTCAGCTCCCTCCACACAGCTGAAGTACCTTCTTTAGGAACCCACAAGGGGGATTCAACAATGGTCAAATTGTTAAGGTCTTTGGACAGTAGACAGTGTACATACCAGAGCTGGGAGTTGGCTAAAGTCAGCAGGCTGAGCTGGTAATCCATGATATATCTAACAGGCTTTGCTGAGTTAAAAATGGGTCTTAGATTCTTTCTACACCTTTCTATGAGGCTTACTCCATCAAAGAAGGAAGAATTTCCTTCTGCTCCAATGGTTTGGGCCCAGGCAATCAAATGACAGCCACTACAGCCCTGGAAATTATTCCCACTCTTCCTCCCTTCTCCTCCACTACTCCAGCTATGCATTCCTATTTCTTCACTTTAATGGGGAGCTAGTGGTTAGATGATACATTAGGGACTAGATTAAGCCCACCAAATTCACTTAGGAAAAATATAAATACTTTCCCACTGAGATGGCTGGGCTGGTTCAGCAAGAGATCACCTGAACACTGAGTCACTGCAAGGAAGACAGGAGGAAATGAAGAACAGGCAGGGAGATAATTTTAATTACCTCCTCAAATCAGTAGGATATAAATCTTTTATCTCTGAGGAATGATTCTAACAACCACCAGCTACACTGGTTAGAAAGTAGTTGCTGTTTGTACTGACATGTGCAGATTCCACCATGGGTCAGTCAAGATGATGCCTGTGTAAAGAGGCTGTCAAAACAGTTTTCTCAAATCTTCCTTAGCAGTTAAGGTGTTCTTAACACCAGGCAGCCCCAAAATGAAAATCATATTTTTCATCTAAACAATAGCCTTGCAAAATGGCATGCTGCACGCCAGAATCCTGACTTTCTCCCCCTCATGTGCGTGTTAAGCCTGACATCTTCAAAAGAATTCTCTTTGAAAGCAAAGAATGGATTACAATCAAAGCTAAAGTTCCTTTATCTGTCAGCAGCCAGAAAGGCAATTATAAGGAGAAAATATTCAAAACACAGAAACATTGACAAGTCCAGACTGGAAGGGCAGATGATCTGGTCCAACCTCTTACTGAAAGCTGAGCCCTGGACTCAGCCGTGTCTTGAATATTTCCAGCCAAGAGGATTCTTCCATTTCTCTGGGCTAGAAATTGCGTTTTGCTGTTTTCATATTAAAGGCTGTTTTTCTTATATGTAGAGGGACTTACCCTTTTTCCTGTTGCCTCTTATCCTGTCACCATGTACCCTCATGAAAACACCCTCCCTCCTCTCTGTAACTACCTACTACTATTGGAAAACTTTGAGTAGACACTTATCACCTGCCCAAGCCTTCTCTCCTCTCAGCTGTACAAATCCAGCTTCTTAAGCTGTCAAAGTTCTTCAACCCGTCATTCCCCAGACCATGTCAAATTTTTCAGATCACATCCAAATTGGGGGGACAAAATTGTACACAGTATTTTATGTGTATCCTAACAAGTGCTGCTCAGAATAATCCCAGCCCTTGATCTGTTCACTACCCTCTTTCAGATGCAGCCCAGGACACAGGTTGCCTTCAGTGCTTCAAGGGCACACTGCTGACTCCTGTTGAGTTTCCCTTTCATCATGTCCAACGAGTTTATTTCAGCAGAGCTGCACCCCAGTCAGTCTGGCCCCAGACTGTGCTAGTAGTAGTATAAAATAATTCAATCCCTTCTGTTTGGGATTATTCCATCCCTGCAGGACTTCACATTTATCTTTGTTGAACCTCATGCAATTCTTGTTGTCCCAAACTTCCAAACTAAGTGCTATTAATAAATATATAGGGCATCTTCTTGTTACAGACCACCATGAGCTGCACCCTGCTCCTGGGGATAATTCATCCTATAGTACTCAAGAACTTGCAGTGATGTAAGCACTGATGAGTTTTTCTATAGGTATTTAAGAGAAATCTCTGAATCAGCAGCCCTTACCCTTATGGAAGATTCCAATTTCCCAGGTATCACCCGGGAATAACAAATTGCTTTGATGAACACATCTAGGAAATTCCTGGAGTTTGTAGGCAATAACTTCTTGTCACAGATACTCAGTGAGACAGCTAAGAATGATGCCCTCCTAGACTTGCTATTTGTGAAGAGAGAAGGACTCGTGAGAGTGTTGCTGCTGCCTCACCCAGAGTGCTGGCAGCACTTCTGGGCCCCACCATTTCAGAGGGGTGGGAAAGTCTTTGAATGTGTGCAGAGGAGGGCAACAAAGCTGGTGAAGGGGCTGGAAGGTGTGTCCTGGGAGGAGCAGTTGAGGGCTCTGGGTTTATCCAGCCTGGAAAAAAGAGAGGCAGAGGAGTGACCCCCTTGCTCTCTGCAGCTCCCTGAGGGGAAGGGGAGATAGAGGTTCTGATCCTTCTTCCTGGGGATCCAGTGGAGATGGTTCAAAGCTGTGTCAGGGGACATCAGGAAGCATTTCTTTACCTAGAAGGTGGTCAGACACTGGAACAGGCTTCATGGAGCCATACCCCAAGCCTGTCAGTGTGTAAGAGGCATTTAGACAAAGTCCTTAATAACATGCTTCAGCTTCTAGTCATCCTTGAAGCAGGTGGGGAGTTGGAGGTGTAGATTCCTTCCAACTGAAATTATTCTATTCCTATTCCTATTCCTATTCCTATTCCTATTCCTATTCCTATTCCTATTCCTATTCCTATTCTATTCCCTTCCGTTCCCTTCCATTCCACTCCAGTTTGCAGACACATACCAAAGGTTCAGATACCAGAAGTAATTCCGTACCTAATTCAGTTCTGTTGCTTATCATTGCCTCTAATTCCATTCCCAGATACAACAGGGAGTAAAAATGTTTTTAACTCAGCCCTCTGTGAAATAATAACCTCTTGCCCCCTTTTTTCTTCTTTTGTTTGTAAAATCAAAGAGGGCATAAAACAAGATTTGACAAACAGGACTGGATCAGGACAAATTATGAATTTGCATTTTACAGAAGTCATAAATAGATTTATGTGTGATGTGTTCCCCACGTGATGTGGGCTGGGCAGGCAGTTGTTCCTGCTTTGTGAGGCAGAGATCAAGATTCCTTTGCTACGTGGGGAAAACCCAGAATTTTCAGGGAACTTTCTCATTGAAGTGAAGCAGACCAAAGAGATACGACACAGGTAAGCACTCCCCCACTGCTCACTCCGCCCTCTTTCCTAATGAGTTTCCTGCTTTTGTGGGACAGACCGAGAAGAGCTGCACAAGAGTCGAAGGTGTGTGATCGTCTAGAAACTGCTTCGGATTCAGAACCTGGAAAACAGAGATTCTACTTTCCCATGCAAAACTTGTACAATGGGGTCTTCCCATCAGTTGCTGTCTTGCCATACTCACTAGTTTCCGACTTTTATTTTTGAATAGTTTCCCTACCAAAAAACTCGAAAGAAGGAAGGGAGGGTTTTAACTCGTGTTCTATCCTCGGGTCAGAACGGGAAGCAGCAGCTCACATTTTTCCTTGTGATGAAGAGAGAAGTTAAAACATGACTGCTCGTACCTTCCAAAACCTCTTTCTGGTAAGTACATGCTAAAAAAAAAAGTGTTTCTTTTGCTTATATGCATTTAATTATTTTTGCTGTAATAAGGGGAAAACACACAATGTAACATGTAGCTATATAAAACTGTTTATTTGTTTGGAGATGTATATTCATAAAAAAGTATGGCCACTGTTTCATGCTTTTTTCCTTCGAAGAGGTCTTCACCAAAACAGTGGGATAGATGTAGGTTAGTATAACACAAGCGCAAGACAGCTCCTTAATTATGGTATTCTTGAATGCCACAGATCCCTGGTATTCATTTCATATTGGCTGCACACAGTGACAACTGCTGTCCTTTCACAGAAATGGGGTTTGGAATGGGGGACAGGAAGGGCTCTCATGTCTGAGAACAGAGCAAAGAACCAGGCATATCAACAGAGAAAGAACTGAGAATACAGGCAAATACTGAAATAAATGCCTACATTTTACAAAAACACACATACCCTAGCTACACCCAGAACCTAAAGTTACATTACTGCTCTAGTACTACACTGAAGTAAGATGCTTGATTGACCAGGGCAGACAGGTCTATTAAATAGTGCTGCTTTTCTTCCGGGATTTGAATTAGTATTTGAATGTTGATTATGCAAGGCACAAATGTCCTAGAATTAATCCTTATGGTTATTCCGTGTCTTGCTTTCGCAGTAGCCTCAATCTGCCACCCTGTTAAGCCAGACCTCTTTAGATATGTCTGGTAATAAGTGCTGATGGTCTATTTATGCATTTTATGTTTTGCAACTGCATCCAAGTATTCCAACTATTCAATATGCATGCTGACAGGAAAGTCTAATATGTTTACATCGGTGTACACAGATTTCCCAGGCTTATGATGCACATGCATGTACTCGAGTGTGTATGTTTCTACTTTGGTCACAATACTTAGGAACGTGTTCATATGCTCATGTTTCATGTTGAAAAAACTCTTCCATCTTCCACAGATGTCTGTCCCTTTAAGTGCCCATCCGTTCTCAAGTGCCTGCCACCGCCATCCCTTCTGCCATGTGGTTAGAGACACGCTGGAAGAACATCCGCCAAACCTTGCTGCTCCTGTTCACCGCTGCTCTCCTCATCGGAGTCACCATGCTGGCCATCTCCTCTAACATCAACCCAGTAGGCTACTTCTTCCTCGGGGTAGGGGGAGTGTGCCTGGTCGGCTATTTGCTGAGTGTGTTTGTCGAGTGTTACCTGAGGAATCAACACCGGCATGACGCAAATGAAACACCTCCAAACAGGCAAAGCCAAGCAGGGTAAGCAGCAACCTGGTTACTCCTCTTTAACTCTCTCACTTCACTCATGGCCATTCTAAACACTCTTTTGTTGCCCTTCCCCTGAGGTAACAAATGCAGACTCCATTCCTAAAGACAAAAGTTCTTTTCAGATCTTTTTCCCTCATTATTGATGTGGAGGTTGCAAATGTCAATGCCATGCATGTCCTGTACCTTTTATAATATGAATTTTCTTCTCCCTGGGAACTGATCCACTAAAACTTGCCAATGTTAAAGCGATCCAGGCCCATTTTATTTTTCTTTGAGTAATCGAGGCTTGCCAAACAATGAGTCAGACAAGGAAAAAGAAAAAATGTTGAAGCAATACCAAATGTTATTTGGGTTTAGCTCTATAAACCTTATCTCTAGAGCAACTGTTCCTTGGCAAACTTTAAGAGAAACCTGTAACTGGGTGTGTTTCGCTCTTAAAATTCCTACTTGACGCTAATAAATCCCCTGATTTTTAGAGACTCGGAGCACTACCACCTCTTTTTGGCTTCAGGTTCATTTGCAGGTTCTCAGCATCATCTAATTTAACCCCAGTTTTCCTGCTGTCATTGAAGAGGTTAACTTTATTTGTAGCCTTGCCTACTTGTATAATCCAAATAATCATTATCCACGTGCATAAAAGACTTGATGTTCCTAAATACAGTGTGTATTTTCAGAAAGACTGTATAAAAAAAGAAGTCTAAATTTGGCCCTGCTCATTTGGAGGCATACTTGAAGAAAACTAGTATCCTTTTATTTAAAAATACAACCTGAAAAAGAAAATGTCTCCAAAGTAACATTTTTTCTTTGCAGATAGTTCTTTTAAACACAGAATAATTAGTCCTTGTTTAAACTAAAGTACCTAATTTTCTCTTCTTAAAAAATGGATGGACATTGAGCTAATATATTAAAAAAAAATAGGTCCTGTTTTATTCTATGAGATAACTAGTAGTTAGCAATCCTTAGTGATAAATTTTAACTGTAGGAGAACACTAGGTTAAGCCTAGGACACTGAACTGAACATTGTGGGTAGCTTCACTGACTCTGGGGAGTGTGGGAAAATGGTCAGATGAGCTGTTTTCTTTACCAGTAAGAAAGACATTCAGTTGGCTGGAGAGGTGAGCTGGTCCAGAATATCCTACACAGCAATTCCATGTGAGATACACTGCCTCAGTCCCGTTTGTTGATTGTGGCATGGTCCCTATACTCCATGATCTGTACTATAAATATAAACTATGCAGTAAAGTAACGAGTGTATCTGGCATTGCTCCTGGTACAGGGTGAATGCTGCCTACGAAGCGCCCACCTATGAGGAGGTGATGACCATGTCAGCTCCAGCAATATGGACAATTACATCCAACCCAGGCTCCGTGCCCTCGCCGCTGAGCGAGCCTCCCCCGTACAACGTCGTTATTGAATCCTCTGCCCAACAAGAGATGATGGTGGAGGCTCTCCAGGGCCCAGTGCCAGCAGACACAACACACACCTCTGAGACAGACACGGGCTCCAGGACGCACCTGCAGCTGGTGCTGCCCCCAAGACTGCAGCGGTTTGTTTCGGACATCCATGAGGAGAAAGATGTTGAAGAAAGGTTTGAACCACTGGAGCCACTCACTCCACCACCTGCTTACGAGACTGCCATCAGTGATGAGGTCTTTGAAGATGCTCACCAGCCCTCTGGGTTAGGACTGATCTCACCTTCCATGAATACAGAACCAAACCCTCACCCCAATACAGGGTGCTCCTAGAGGGATGGTAAAACAGCCGATAATGTTTTGCCGAAATGTTTGTCTCACCATTCTTTGAACCAGAATTGAACTACAGACACAGCTTCTGATGTTACTAGAATCTTATTGCACAAAACAGAAATCAATGCAATACCACACTGCTTTGTCTTGGTATATACATAAAACCACTATGAGGAAAGCTGTGTTATGTATGGCAACATTCTCAAACTGGAGATACACCTTTATGGAAGAGGAGAAGTAAACCCTGAGAGGAGACAAGAGAACTTGCCAAAAGAAGGACTGAAGGAATGTAGGATGCAGCCAGAAGAATCTGCCTGGGAAAGGGGAGGAATAGAAACAACACTAAGCACATTTTGCCTGTGCATTGCAAACAGGAATATTGCTGAGTGCTGTCGGGTTATCTGCCACCCTGAAGTCCCTACAGAAAGAACAAGCATGCGCTCCCCACGTTACTGTTTTGCAGCAACACAAATTTTTGGTCTGTTTTTTACTGTCCCTTCGCCACACCTGCTCCACATCCTCAGCTGTGCTACATAGGAATGTGACTGAGGGGAGAGTGTCTGGCTGCATGTGGAAGGTGGTACCACCTGACACCTGTCACATAGGGTTGAAAAGCTGATAGTATGCATCAAATGACTTCTGTTGTTCACAAACTTCACATCCCACACAGCCAGTGGTGGACAAGAGGGAGATAAGATTTCCCCCTGCAAGAGAGGGCAGTGATGGGATACATGCACATGTAAGCAGCCTCTGCTTGGACTTAGAGGCTCTACAACAGGGTGTATGTCTGCTGTATTACAGATGGACTCTAACAGATGGCCTGAGCCATTTTATTGTCCTTTATTATGCACAGAAAGGCCAAAGCTCCTCCAGTTCTCTGTGGGCTCTGGAAAGGTTCAGTCTGCCTGCCAAGGCAGCGGAGCACCTGAGGACAAAAGTGCCAAGACACATTTGGCCTTCATCGTGATGGTTCTAGGCTATAGGCCTAGGTTCTAGCTCTCACTGATCAGTGATGCTGTGCCTTTTTAAATGGGTGAGCTAAACTGATCGGCTCTGCAGAGTCAAAGTGGTCTGCAGTCTGCAAAGAGATGCATTTGCGTCTGGTGAATTTCCAAATTAAAAAATAAAAATGGTGGTCTGATTCTCCTGTGAAGGAGAGCAGCAGTCACAGCCTTGCTCATGACTGCATCTTTAATTCATATGAGGAACCATCAAACCATAGGCTAGAAGCAAATAAATTATTTCTTATTGTTTGATTCTTTATAGTCCAAAGGAAAAAAAAAAAGACCTTTTATGTTGTTTATAAATAAACAGGACTGCATTTAAGATTCCTGGTAACATCATTAATTTTTCCTCCCAAAAGAAACACTCCACAAAGCCATGCTTTTGCTTGCATTCTGCTTGTTTGATAATCTTGGCTTAGAAAAAAGAGAGGAGTTCCATTTCTGAATCGACAGCTGAAACACTTTATTATCATTATTGATGAAACAATTATGATACCTCTATCATGGAAGTATTAGGAGAGACAAATTTGCTGATCAAGGTAATGTGGTTTCTTTAATGTCAATCACTACTTGCATTTCCCTCCTGTGTTAACAGAAAAAAACCTCACCAAAGGGTGTCACAGGTATGTGACACAGGCATAGAAACTTTGCGTCTTAAACTGGGCAACTCAGGACCTTCCTGAGTGCACCAAATTGCCAGGAGTCAGGAAGAAATTCAGGTGACCAGAACAGACTAAAAACTAGCCAAACCAAAGACCAAAAATGTCACCAGTTACAATCAGTACAGTTTTGTCTTCGACATTTGTAAAGTTGTCAGGCCTTTGTACTTGTGTTAATCTTTAGCAGATAAAAATTCCTGTGTGCCAGGACATCTATGAGCTAAAGAATAATGTGCAGAAGCCATCTGAAGCTTTAAGTAACTTTTTTTTTGTAAGTTGTATGAGGAGCAGCTGTGGGAGCTGGGATAGTTTAGCCTGGAGAAGGCTCAGGAGAGACTTTATCGCTCTCTACAGCTCCCTGAAAGGAGGCTGCAGCCGGCTGGGGCTTGGTCTCTTCTCCCAGGCAACCAGAGGCAGGGCCAGAGGGATTGGCCTCAAGCTGTGCCAGGGGAGGTTCAGGCTGGACATCAGGAGGAATTTCTTCTCAGGAGAGTTGTCGAGCATTGGGGCTGCACAAGAGGTGGTGGAGTCACCATCCCTGGAGGTGTTTAAGGAAAGACTGGACGTGGCACTCAGCACTATGGTCTACTTGTCATGGTTTTTGGTCAAAGGTTGGTGATCTCAGAGGTCCTTTCCAACTGGTTCTGTAACGAGAGCCGTGAATTTGCTTTCGCTAGGATGCTCACTTGATTTTCCCTTTGTATTTCCCTTCCTATTTCTCTACACATCCCGTGCGCTCCATTTCTCCCTCCCTCTTAGTTACAAGCACGTTATCATTTCTGACTGCAGCTGATTCCCGCAGAAACCCATCTCAGCAGAGGCAAAAGAAACTAAAACTAAAATAGTAAAAAGCAAAAAAACTAAAATAGGTTAAAAAAAAACCCAAAAAACAAAAAGCAAAACAAAAAGCAAAACAAAAAGAAGAAGGCTTCCTAGGAAAGCCGCACCCCCGGTACTCCTCCCGACAGGCCCAGCCCGTGCCCCGGCTCCGCACTCCCTGAGGGGCCGCTCCCCAGCCCGGCGCAGGAAGAGGCGGGAAAGCGCGTCCCGCGCGCCGCGGTCACGTGACGGCGAGAAGGGCGTCCCGCCGTTTGAATCGCGGGGGTCGCCGGGAAAAGGCGGGAGGGCCGGCCATACTTTC